GCCGCCTCCCCTCGGCCGCCCTCTTCCTCCTCCTCCTCCTCGCCGTCCGCTCCCCGGCCCGCCCTCCGCCCGGCGCTCTCCAGGCTCCGGGCGGCCCTTAAAGGGACAGCCGGCTGCCGCCGCCGCCCGCGCCGCGTCTCCAGGAGCCGTTGCTAAGGCTTTGTTGCCTGCGCCAATGGCGGGCCGGGCGGGCCGGGCGGGGCCTCCGGGCTGGAACTTGTGAATGAAGCGCGGGCCGCGGGGGCCGCGGTCGCCGCCCTCGTAGCGGCGTCGCCCGCTGCGGATGGTGGCCCGCGTCTCTGCACCCCGCACCGCGCTCCTACGCGTCTTCCAAACTTTCGCGCGGGCCCGCAGGCCGTCGCCCCGCCCGCAGCGCACCCCGAGCGCAGCCGCCACCGGTCGGGAGCGCGGCCTCTCGCCGCGAGTTCCCGGCGCAGAGCTCGGAGCGCTCGGGGGCTGGGCCTTCCCCGTCGCCCTGGGCGCCCGCGAGGCGACCTCATCACGGCCCCCCACCTTCGCGCCGGCCCGCGGGGGATTTGGGGTGGCGGAGGCCGTGTGTCCCCGGGGAGGCGACGGAGCGCTTCCTCGCGCCGCGGCAGCGCCCCGGGCTCCTGCGCGCCAGGGAGGAGCTCGCCCCTGTGCTCCGGCGCGACCGACCAAAGCGGGGCGCCAGGCGCGGCCGCCGGCGAGCCCTCGGGCCCCTCCTGCGAACCTGGAGCCCCGGACGCCCTAGAGGAGTGGCCCCAGAAACGGTGGGAGCCCGCCCTTTTGTTCTGGGAAGAAAGGGGGCGCACTCCCCAGAGCGCTGCCTGCCGGCCGGGAGCGGAAGCCAAGCTCCGCGTCGGGGCGCAAGCCCTCGTGGCCGGCTCGCCGCGCTGCGGAAGCGAGCTGATGCCACGTTGGTGTTCGCTAGGAGCGTTCCGAGCACCTGCGCTGCAGCCCCATCTTGGAACTCCTAAGCCCGGCGGTACACAGCCGAAAGAGTTACCAACCACACCTGCTAACATGCCCTCACTTTCATACGAGGGAGAAAAATATCTTGGAAGAGTTCTTCAAGTTATAAAAAGAGGGGTGTAGCCAGTGTAACCTCTGGAGACGCATTTCATCTCGAGCATGCTGACCTCGCTCAGCTAGTTGAATTTTGCCTTTTTACTCCAAATTAGTGTCAACAATCATGTTGGCCAAATCACATTACTGAAAAAATTGTAATTGTGATTTTTATGTGGAAACAATAACCAAAGTGTGTGAATCTCTTAAAAATGTATAAATCCAATGATGGCAATCTATATGCAAAATTGTTTATTTAAATTCTTGTAGCATCTAAACTCAAGTGCTCTAAGAATTTTTCATCTAAGTGTTGTATTAGAAAAAGTGCATTAGGGGCCGGGGAGATGGCTCAGTGGAATAAGTGCTTCCCTAGCAAGCACAAGCGTCTGAGTTCAATCCCCGGTTCCGCAAAAAAAAAAAAAAAAATTCGGGGGCCCAGCCCTAGCTCAGTTCTTTAAGTGGCTGCTTCCACAATGCTGGCAGCCTCAGTTTGCTGTAGTTCGATCCCCACAACTCTCCAGCCATGCAAAAGTGCCCTGAAGGCATTCAAGGAGCAAAACACACACACACACACACACACACACACACACACACACAAAAAAAAATTCCTTAGAAAAAGTGCATTAGAAACGGGGGCTGGACATGGTGCTCCACACCTTAACCCAGCACCAGGGAGGCTGAGGCAGGAGGACCGTCTCAAGACACCGTGAGTTCAAGGCCTCCTACGCTAACAGTGAGGCCATGTCTCAAAGAGAAGTAGGAGGCTAGGGGTGTAGCTCCGTGGCAGTGCTGGCTTACTATGCAAAACTTTGGATTTGATCAACATCACAAAATTTTTTTTAAAAAATAGAAATTTGAATTTTCATTCAATGCATATTTTTAATATCATAAACAACCTCATGAAACGAATTTGAAATCTACATTTTCAGAGAAGCCAAACTTAATACTCTCATGGTATCTTCTAAAATGAATTTACAAAAATTTTTTTTCATATAATTCTCTTGCTTAGAGATGATAAGAGATGAACTGCAATCCTTAAAATATGAAAATTTAAAGTTTTTCCCTAGCATATTTATAATATGAATATTATAATGAATTTTTAATGTACTAAGTTGCTATAAGTAATGTTTTAAATGTTACAACACAAAAAAATAAATGTCAGTATAACCGAATCTCTCAAACCTGCACAATGTATTTTAAAATTCTAGAAAATATGTAAACAAGACAGTGCACCTGCAGCAGGAATACATGCCAAGGTTCTGGTGAGATCACAAAACACATTATTCCCTCAGTTGTCATGAGGTCTAGGTTCCCAGGGGTTGTCGTTTCATAATAAAGGCGTGCGCTTGAGTCTGTGGAGGAAGATAAGGAAATTTCTTACCAGCCGCTCAACCTGATGTAAATGTAAGGACTGGACTTTCACTTTCAGCAATAGTAGCTCGCCCATAAAGGAAACAATAAGAGGCCTAAGGCGTCAGCCAACTACTGAGAATGGAGGGATGTTCCCTGCAGGAGCCGGCAGGTTGGTATAGAAAACTGTCTTGAGTGCGAAAACAACGTGTAAATTTAGCACATCTATCTTTTGAGCATAGCTTCAGACACCCTGTAGCCTGAGCTTGTGCACCTGCCAAGCTAGAAAGCTGTGTGACAGCCTGCCCAGGTGACGCAGCCCCTCCAGTTGTACCCCCCTGGGAGGCCGTACCAGACACTCCTAGCCACTCTCACACGAGACAACTTCAGAAGTGCACAGCTGGGTCGGGGATATAGCTCAGTGGCACAATGCCTGCCTGGCAAGTACAAGGTCATGAGCTGGACTCCTAAAATAAAAGACCACCCCTTCCCCCTGCTTAACCCCGATCAACACCCTCCCGCTCTGCAGCCTCTTCGTACAGCACATGGCCAAGTTTGCCCACTTTCTCATAAGAGTATGTCCTAGAATGCCATGCGCACCAGTGGCGACCTGGTTGTGACCAGTTCTGAGGCCAGAAAAAAAGACCAAAAAGAAAACACCGATGGAAGATTCAGATGGAGGCAAAAGCAACATAAATATAAAAGAACTTGGC